CATCTTGAACATCCTCAACATGCGTGGTGTGAACCGTTTTATCCTCCCACAGCTGGATGAAGCCTGAACCAACCGGGTCGAGGTACCAACCGGCGGATCTGCGCGAAGACACCTTTGAGAAGACCACAGACGCCTACATGTCCGCTCCAGTCGGGATTATTCAAGCAGACTTCTTGGGGATTCTAGACTTTGTTCCCGTGTGAAGAACTTGAGGAATTGGGAGCACCAGGGAGTACGCATGCGAAAGGAAGCTTTGTTTGTTCAAAGCATTGTGTGAAGAATCAGGTTCATTGTATTCATATTCGTTTGCATATGCAATTTGAGAAGAGGTGGACTTCTTTACAATGACTTCAAAAACACAAGAACGAGTTGTGCAGCATGAATGCGTGGTCAGGCTGTTTGCATCAACAGTTGATGCATCACTGAGCACACTGGGACCGTCTGGGACCTTCATACCATCGCAAGATCATGTTCCTGCGGAACCGACCGACTGGGACTTGTTCCGGTGGGCGCACCTTCGCTGGTTCTCCCCTAGTGGACACACCGGGTGAGCTGGTTCTGACGACGGTCAGGTGGCTGGTTCGTTTGGGGCCAACTCTTTGGAGTTCGAGAGCCGGTCCTTGGGAAACACGCAGGACATCACAGAACTGTTTGCTTAGGATGGTACGATGTGGTGGTATCATGTAGGATCCATGCACTCCAGTCCAGCTTGATGGATTTATGGGGATGGATGGGATGGAATAGCCTTGAAGTGATGTTGGGTGCTTGGATTCGGATGATTCAAGAGGTGCAGAACATGAGGTAGAAGGGGTTCGACCACCATTTCGGTGATGCTTCGTGAAGTCAAACACTGGTCGTTGGTATCTAAAGAAATTAAATAAACACACCAGCTACCCAAGAGTGAGGTATCCAAAGGAACATGGTGAACTAGCAGGGTATTTGGCTTTTGTTGCGAAAGAATTGCACAGTCACATGAGCGACCTCCAAAAACGTGCGATGACCAATTCAGTAAAGAGCGGTCGTGAATTTAGTAATTTGGCTTAAACATTTAAACATGCTAAAACCTGCAAAGGGGATAGGCCCCCCCTCAAAAGCCATATTAACAATATCCCGGGCAATATGTTCAGCTATGTTGACATTGGGGCTAGAACCTGCAAAAGCGATAGGCCCCGTTTAAAAGCCATCACCTTGCTGAATCATGTCCTCTACTTCTACTTGACAGTGCGTTTTGGCAGACGCTCACATGGTTTCTATGAAAAATCCCCTACCTTCTCAGAAGCCCCAGTCATTTGGACCATGTGGAGACATACTCGCTAAGTCTTTAGATCTACAAATGGTAATTTTTCTTGGTCTCGTAACTACCAATATCCGGTTACGACTGAATGGCTGCTCCTCTTCGCTGCGATGACGGTTGGTCGGTCGCTATGGACGGTTTCTCATGTTGGGCGCCACAGTCCAGTCCAGCCACTCGGGGGGCAGGTATGACGTGATCTTGACACACTTCGAGCAAGATAAGGACAGCCAAATCGGCCTTCGGGCAGAGCGTTCTGAAGTCCTGAAGGACCAAGAACCAACGATCAGCGACGATTCTTTTTCACCCTTTCTGATTACAGGAAGATACAAGAAGTTTGTACCTTCAACGGATCCAACCGGGACGTTCAACCAAATCCAGAAGAACAGCCCCTCGAACCACCGCCTCGTCTCCTGGTGGCGGCCACGCTTTGGTTGCTTCGTTTTTGCCGCGACGGCGAGGAGTTTTGGGAGTCGTGGGGAGTGGTGGACTGCATGGCCTCTGTACCGGACAAGTCTCAAAAGCAGGCCGGGTCGGTGTTCCGCGGGCCTGTTTTCCACGCTCGAAGTCGTTCAGAGGCACATGGGAGGAGATATGGAGATGTGCAACTATCTCGTTATTTGCTATTTAGGAAAAAAAAAGCATATTCAGGTACTGTAGTTGCCGTTGCACAAGTGAAGATATGAATGAATCCTTGGACTGATTAGACTGATTGAGGTGGCATGCTCAGAAGATGTTGGTTTGGAAATGGCTCATTTCTTTGATAGTGCGATCGATTCGTTGAGAAGGGTGGCTTCTCAGTGGCTCAGCGGCATTTTTTTATGCGGAATTGCCATGATTTCCAATGATGGATGCAGTTGTTGTTTTTTTATTGTATTTTCGATGATTGATGCTGTTGGTGGACATCCCTCTTCGGCACTATCCCAAAATCCTTAAAGCCTGGATGCACTTGCGCAATATCACTGGGAGTTCCAGGCATGCCGGCATTGTGGCAGGGTGAGGGGCTCAGCAGCAACTCCAAGGGCTATGTGCAGGGCTTAATTACCTGCATGAGGTATTCATAGAAATATGATGCATGCGGCATGCGGCCTCATGTGACTTATGTTGTGCACTGTCCTCAAGCAAATTGAAGTTTGTTGCTGTAGGGGTTCAGCTCCTTTAGTTTAACTATTTGTGGAGATGTTGACTCGACGCAATGAAAGGTGTCCTTTCCATGACATGTTCATTCCCGATGGAGTTGCCATTTGTCAAACCTACGCATGTCCGTGTCATTTCATGGTAGGAGTCCAAGCACCTTGCTGAACAAGAGCCCGGCAAAGCTCACCAAAAGACTCAGGCTTCTGTGGACTGAGGCCTATGACTCCTTGAAGCAGGATGTTTGTCAACACTGCAAAGAGCGAAGAGAAATGGCTGGACGCTGAGGGGCTGCGAAGGCGTCGAGATTGGTGCTGGACCTCCGCGTCCGGAACGAACAGCCTCAGCTGTCGTCACGGTGGTCACTTGTTGTTTTGTTCTTGATGGATCACAGGTGTCATGCAGCGTGGAAGAACAGTCGTTTGTTGTTTCGAGATCCCGGGCAGGGACCCTTGAGGGGGCGAATGGAACACCGACCACTCGTCTCATCATTTCAATATGATTAGGTTCAGGCTCTGAAGGCAAGTCTCGCAGCACATGTTGTGCAGCTGTAGCTCCTCAACTGCAGACAAACTACCCACTACTACAGCCATTTCTACTGTTGATGAACGACATCCTGTACCACCATCTAACTACGCAAGAACTTGTTTGTTGTTGGATGCTTGGGAAATACTCAGAAATGACTTGAACCGGGTCACCCAACAGGTTTGCACGCCAGGTGGCGTCCAGACCTACCCTTCCGACCACCCCTCGACTGGCATGTCGTGGTGCAGAGACCTCCCACCTCCCCAGGGCCGCGCGCCCATCCGAGTGGTCATGGACATGGAAGCCATGTCGGAGCCCGGGAGCCCCAGATGGCGAGGATCGATCGATGGGGACGGGAACTGGAGCTGTTCCGCGGTCAGCGGTGTCCGTGGTGCCAGACTCACGTAGATGGTGGGGTTTCTTTGTTGAGTTGTTGGGGATGTTGTTACGTCTTTATAAGCTTTTCATATTTTTTCATACTCATACTGTTACTGATACTTGTTGCATCAGTTTTTTGCAGGTACAAGCCTCGTCCTTTTCAGAATAGGCCTATGTGAGCCAGGGGCACTGGGATAGACTGGAGTGCTTTCCATGACCCACTGACTCTTCTAGATGTTGTTTAGTATGGTATACTTCCCATAGGCCTTAACATGATATTGCGGAACGTCCTGCATCCCAATGGCCCTCAGAGGCGGAGACACAGACATTCACACTGGAATAGTGAACACTCTTTCCAGCAAGCTGTAGTACAAACCAACCCAAGGGCTCAACAGGAGAATGCAAATAAATCTTCACTGGACACATTTGGAAGCTTGTGTAGAAGAACCTGACCAATGATTTAGTTGATAATTCAGATGGAGTTTGTTTCAACAAAGCTTATCACATTTGTGTTGTTGACCTACATGGATCCTTTACAGATGACAAAGGATCCCTCTTCCTCCGGTGTTTCGTGACCAGGTTGCCGCGCTCCTACCCTCCCATCGTTCCGGGCCGGGGCAAGTGGGGCAGCCCGGAGGGCTCGTCCATGTCGAGTGGGGCGAGGTTCACTGCGCGTGGTGCTCTCTGCGAGGAGAAGGGGTTTGTTTTCCTCTCCAACCTAATAATAATGGCCTCCATCCTAGTAGTAGTGGCCTCCACCCTAGTAGCGATGGCCTCCAACCGAAGAGCGATGGCCTCCATCCTAGTGGTTTATTGCTCGGTTGGATCGCAAGGCAAGGGGAGATGTGAAGTCCATGGGTTTTCCAATCCTTCAAACATAAGGAAAGGAGAACCTTTGGTATAAGGAAGTAATCAGCCGGAATAGACAGGTTGCGGATTGGAATAAAATTGTGGAAGGCCACAAGGCCTTCCATCTTCAAAAAGCCCACCCACACTATCCTACACTTACTTTTTCCTTTAAGAAAGGCCAAGCTAAAACATGCTAAGACCACCATCTAGAACCATTGCTTGCGAGGAGTTCTTGTTTGGGTCAGCACAAGTTCTCTACAATTCAACAGCGAGTAACACTCAGGAAATTCAATAGCACAAGGTATCCATATTATATACACACAAGTCGCAAATAGATATCCCGGGGTTCAAAACACAATGCCTTTCAACTCCCTCACCACGCGTGGAGAGTTCAGAGTAGACAGTCAACAAGTCAAAACGTCCATTCCATTTGGCTCATCAAGGGCTCCTGTTGGTGCTATATGTGACTACGATACATTTTCGGGGCACCTGTTGGGGCTGACCAGGTTCCAAGATCTGCGAGTTCACATGGCATCGGAACGAACTCACGTCACCGTGGGAAGAACGGTTCGGTGTCAGTGTTCTCCAATGGATTCTTCCGTGCGTTGGAGGCCATGGCTACTAGGTTGGAGGCCGTCGCTATTGGAATCTGAGTTTCCTTCAAGGGAAAAAACGGACGATGCTTTTCTTGAGCCATGAACAGCGTTTGTTGGTGCTAAGTGGTGTATGTCACACCTATGATCACATCGAGTGAAAATGCAGGGATTCACACTCCCCCTGATGGTTGTACCATCATTCAAACACGCGTCAGCACCAGGTTTTTTCATCCAGTGCTGCGCAAAAACTCAAAGCTTCCGTCCGACTCACAGTCCTCATCTTGTCGTTCACCATCACGGTGAGGATGTTGTAGTACTGCGGTCTCAATTCCTAGCCAAATTGGCCATTGGTCAGCTTCGGGAGGCAAGTGTTCGCTTGAATTGGCCGCTTGGGACGTCCCTTCCGTCACCTGGCCGGAATTGTTTCCGCTCTCCCCCCCGATGCTCACGTCCTTGGAGCCTTAGCTCATAGCCCGTCTTCGTGCCACCCTCGATGGACTCAATGTCACAAGCACTGATGCCCCTTCCACCGTAGGTGACTTCCTCGCCTTCTATCGTCTCTGAACCTTGTAAGGCCTTTCGACCTCGTTGCACTGCTCTTGACCTTCCTGGAATGGAGCCGCCATAGCCCCCGTCTGCGGCCACCGATCCCGGTGGAGGAAGTGGTCCCGGCCTGACATCACGTCGGTCGAGATTTCCTGCTCTTCCTTCTGGGAGGGCCTCAAACTTCACGTAGAAGAAAGTGTAGCCACACCATTCATGAAGCCCTTCCACATCTGAGCCCCTGTTTTCGATCCAGTCATCGGTGATGACCACTCGCTTCCAAACTTCTCGCGGATTTCCCCGCGAAAAAGCCACCGTGACTCTGGTCGCCGAGAGTCTTGCTATCGACATTGGGGTTCCACGATGCAATGGATGGAAGGTTCGCACTCGGGACTTCTTCAGCACCCTGACCCACCATTCGCCACCACCGAGGCCCACACCAAGGCATTCCCACCTGTCTGTTCCAGTCGGCGGCGTACTAAACCTCATCAGCTCCCATGGAAGATCCGTGCCAAGTCCCACATGGGTGATTGGTGCCCTCAAAGCACTCACCCGCGGAGGCTGCCGAATCCATGGCTCGCACGCGGATGCACCGCCCGGGGAGCCCTTTGGGCTAAAGTCGCGACCGGGTTTGGAGACAGGTTCATTTTCCCTTGTCTCTTCTTGACATTTTCTTCTTTCGACATTGCCCTCTTTGGACGCCCCTGTCCGAGCAAATGCCGGTTCACCCTCTTTTTTTGGGGTCATCTCCACCCTTCCTACCCATCAGCCAAGCTACACTTGAAGCTACCGCTGCAATGGTCACACTTTTGGCGACCTTGGCAACCGCACTAACTGGCTGCCAACATGAAATGCCTATCAGCCCGCTCAGAAGCCCGATCAGTCTCTTGACCTGCACACAGTCCTCCGCTTCCTTCACCTGGGTTGCTCCAGCACACAAGCCAGTGAACTCCCGGAACCTCCTCCACGAAGGCGGACTGACAATTGACTTTGTCAATAGGTCCACCGACAACGATGCTCCCGGCTCGTGACGTGCCTGCCAGCATCCCGTGCGGATTCGCTCCCGCAACACAAAGCTTCGCAGCCTGAGATGTCTCGTCCGCCATGGGCCATCCGGTGACTGCAAAATGCGGATGCCAGACTGCGAGTCACCATGTAGGACGCAGTCCATGACCTCATTCGCATCACCACTTTCCAAAATCACAACGATTGAAGCGCACGACTCACCCATGGTTAAGGCATCAGAATACCCCATGAGCTCTGCTTCTGAGCTAGATAGGGTGCCAAAGGGCTGCTGTTTGCTTTCCCACTGTATAGGAGCACCTGAGTACATGGCTATAAGGCCTTGGTGACCGCGAGATCCAGGGGGGCCGAATGAAGCATCCGAATACATGTGAATGCCCTTGCTCTCTTCCCACTGGGGTTCATCAGGTGCAGCTTCATACAACAGGCCCAAACCCATGGTGCTTTGCAAGAACCCCAGGACCTGCGCTCCATATCGTTGGACTCGACATGGACAATGTGTCACCTGCCTCCCCATCCACGACACGGCGAAGGAGATGTCTGGCCTCGACCTCACTGCCAGCCACAACAACTCTCCAACCAAGGTTTGCGCCCTTCGGACCTCTGCAACCTCAGGATTCGTCTCCTCAGTCTCATCCAAGACACCTGGCAGCGGGCTTTGAGCTGACTTGACATCAGGATATCTGGCCAAAAGATCTCGTAGGTATGACTCCTGATGCAAACGAAGTCCCCTCTTCTCCTGGGCAATCTCAAAGCCACAAAACCTCAAGCTGCTTTCAGGCGTCAGCCACTCCGGTGTCGAGCATTTCCACTGTTGCTGGAACCGAGCGATGGTCGATCGAGTCACTCTTTCATCACCAGTCACCAGGATATCATCGACGTACACAGCGACAAATCCGTACACCTTGTCGGGCAACCTTGACTTGGATGGATCATCGAGGATCACCTTCCACAAGTTGGGCTCTTGAGTGCGAGCCAGCTTCCAGTTTTCACCTTCATCAGTCCAGCGGAACTTGGCCATCTCTTCGTCCCTGAATCTCGCCCAGTTGAGAGGCGCCTCCTGGAGACCGTAGAGCGAGTTTCTGACCTCCCAGATTTCGTCAGCATCGCACACCTTTGCTTCCACCAGCGCCCGAGGAGGACGCGTAATGAGCAGCCTCTGCTGTGCATCTCTTCTTGGAGCTAGCAAGAACGCTGTCTTCACGTCCAGACTCGCTACGGACCATTTCTCCAGAGCACTCTTCCTGAGTAAAGCTCGCAAAACTGTCGCATCCGCCCCTCCTGCATATAGTTCAAAGGGTGAAGAGATCGATGATGCTTCCAATGGACTGACAGCCTTCGTCTCCACCTGGGACTTTGTGAGATGGTTGCCACAAATGACCACCCTTGCCCTGTGCCGTCCATGAGGACTCTTGACCGTAGGGACCAGCATCGCTGGCGCTTCTTCCCGCCAGGGATATCTCGGATCCTTCTTCAAAGCCTCCTCTGTGGTTGGAAAGATCGCTCCAGTAGTAGTGGACAGAGAGACATACTCATCCTTGAAGGGTTCGACCCACTTGTGCAACTCCCTTCGCACTTGGGCCAGCGACACCGTGTAGGTCTGAAGGACCAGCGAAGGCTTCTGCTCTTCTCCTTCTCCTGAACCCCCCGCCGCCTGCAGTGCCGCCATCCTCCAACTCTCCAGGGCTCCATGTTGGCGTTGAAGACACTCCTCCCGGACCATCAACTGTTCTTCCAGAACTTGAAGCCATCCTCCATGTTCACTGCCCTGCTGTGCACCCACCGCCACCTGATTCAACTGATCCAGCCACATTCTTTTCAACTGCCAGTGGCTACGAACTTCTTCCTCATGCCACTGTACTGCCTGAGTCCATGAACAGGCTTGCAAATCCAAAGCTTCCTCCCCCGGAACCTGCAGCCCATCCTGCTCCTTCGGCAGATCTCCTTCACAAAATCGACATCCAGCTCCTCGATGTTCCCCCAGTTGCCAAAGATCGCACTCGAGGCACTTCACCATACCTTCTGCCGACCCTCCACAGCTTCCATTGCTTTCGACCTGCAGGCAAGCTCCTGGATCTCGATCTGTCCCCCCCCCCTGTCCTGAAGTTGGACAACGCGGACAGGGCTGGTTGTTGTGCAGGCTGCACCTCCTCATACATGTGTGAGATCACGTCCTGCAATGGGTGAGGATCCAAACTTTGTTTTCCAGTCACTCTCCTGCGAACGGTGTCTGCATCAATCTCCTGGAGCTCGAGAGCCGCTTGGTCCGCTTCTGGAGATGGCTGTAGAGCCGTTCGAACGTGTTGAACACGACCTTGATGGCGAACCACCCAACCGTTTGTCATCAGTGGGCTTGGACCAACCAGCTGCATGGAGATGAACGGGTTGATCAACTGACCAGCCTTGTGCCATCTCTTCGTGCGAACTGCCACCTTCGACCCAAACCGTAGCATTGGTTGCACCGGAACTCCTAGTCTGCTGAGCTGCTGTCTGCATCTCTCCTCTGCCGCATGGCGAATCGCTCCTGGCCACAGTTCTGGTTCCACCTGTGCCTGATGGATGATCAGCCTCATGCGTCTCTTAACTTGTTGCACTTCTGCCTCTGCACGGCCATTGGCCTGTGGATCGTCGCCCTGCGTGAAGGTCTGTACCAGGTGTCTGTGGCCGCACCAATTTGACACCCTCCTCGACAGCATGCCCTTCTCCCTGTCGCTATGTAGTCTCATCACATTGATGCCCAGACACCTGAACCTCGCATAGAGTCGGGACAGGCCTCCCAGGAGCGAATCCACACCTCTGTCTTCCATCACCTCCACCATTGTAATGTTCTGCAGCTGATGGGGCCTCCGAAGCTCATCGATCTCTTCACGACCAATCACCTGCTCCTCACCCTCCTCAACCAACTGCTGATCTTCTAACTCTGGTGGATCTTGACGACCATCACGTTCTAGGTTTTCCTCCTCGAGGTCCTCTTGATCCAAAGATGGCACACCCCTCACCTCCTCCTCAGTGAGATCCTCTTCTTCGGCCGGTTCCCCCGGCAGATGGTCCGGCACCGGCAACGGCACCGTTCCCAACAAAGCGTACTTGGCCATTCTTCCAGTTGCAGGATCCTTCCCCACCGGGAATGGTCCAATGATGTCCACCGCCAAGGTGTACGCAGAAGACGCTGTCCTGGATCTCCGATGTGGATTTTGCGTGCCCATTGCTTCCAGACAGGTTCTGCAGTCCCGCCTGAAGGGCATGTGCTGCATCCGCACATGTCGCCGCCATTGGTCCACATCCAATCGTGCCACCTTGCAGTTCTCATCCTCCTCAAGCATACTCCTCAATGCCAGCTGGATGGCCTTGACAAAGCCCGGTGACCATTCTGACCAGCTTCTCGATGCTGCCATCCTCTGACTCAAATCCCCTCCGACTGGGTTGGTGTTTCCTCCTCCTTGGCATAGTTCCAGCTGCTCCAGCATGGGCAAGTTCGACAACACCCCCGTCGGCTTCCTCCGTGGATGACCTGTCGCTCCCTGATCGAAGTTGATCATCCTCATAGTCTCATCTTCCTCCAACAGCTGTTGCAGTTGAGGCCACTCAAAATAGGATGGATTCTGCCGATCCTCCTCCGACTCCAAATAGGATGCTGGATCCCTTGGCGACTCCAGCAAGAAGCCTGTCAATCGGCCCATCTGCTGTCCCTGTTTGGCCAGCTTCCAAAGTGCAACCTGCTTGAGAACCAGCGTGGTGTCGTTCGCGACCATCTGAGCCTCCTTAGGAGTTAGATCCTCCAACCCCCACCTCAGATCACCTCTTGCTCTGACTTTGCGAGGTCCCGGTGGCCCACGATTCCGCAACCTGCTGACTGTTCTGCATGGAGGACCTCCCAAAACTGCCTTGATTCGGCCCTGCTTGGCCAACCAGCACAAATATCCCCACACTTGAGGCGAGTGGAGATCATACCTCGACCCAAGGAGCGGGTCCACGAACAGCCAGGTGTACCCAGAGGGCAGCGAGTCCTTCCACCTCTTCACATTGGTGCCGGAGAAGAGGTGCACAATGATTCCCTTTGAAGTCTGATGCATTCTCCTCTGCCTCCGGTTCCATGGAAGATCATCTCCCGCCGGACACCATGACTGGCCCTTCATGAACTCCAACAGCTCCCCCGGGACCCCAGGGATGTTCTCCTCCCACCACTGAGCGTCCTCGGCTGTGATGCTGTAGTGCCCCCTTTCCAGCTCCTCAAACTCCTTGAGCATCGCAAGAGCTGCAGTCCTTTTCATCACTGGACAACCCCCCCGGAGCCAACATAGTATCGGCCCTTGCCGAGGATGGTTGATTGTGCATCCATTCGCCGACCAGTCAATTCGAAAGCCATGTTGCACCAACAAGCTCAATGGAATGATCGGCTCAACCTCGTCCAAAGACAACAATGTGCTGCATCCCTCCTTTCGAAACAGCGTGGTCGACCCATGAGCGAGCTCCACCTGAACCGGAATAAGGTGGTTCTTCTCCCCGACCTCCGCCATCCTCAGTGGATGAGTTGCACCTCCATCCAACAAGGCCACTTCGCCCTCCCTCTCGGCATCAGGCTGTATCCTGCAAATCTGCCTCAGCCTGCAAGCCTTGAGCGCTCTCAATGATTTGAGCAAACTTGTAGCTTCTGCTATCAATGCCGTCGCCGACTCTGCACTCCCCGTCGAAGCTTCTCCACCACCTGCAACCTTCTCCCCCTCCCGACTCCTTGACACCTGTGTGCTCTTCAAGGACCCCGAGGACTGTTGGGAAGAAGTCGTAGTAGCGTTCTCCTCCTTCGGCTTATCTGGAGCTTCCAGGTCACTCACTGGCGACTCCTTGGTGGGCATAGGATTCTTCACCTTTGCCACCTTCTTTGAATCCTTTTGATCTCGCTCACGTCGAGTAGGACACTCTCGCGACATGTGCCCTTCACCACTGCAGACAAAACACCGATTCTGCTTGTTGATGCCTTCCCATGAATGCCCATAGGTGCATTGATCCCCCCTCCTGCAGCCCTGAGTAGACCCCCAGAACTTGCAAGAGGCCTTTTGCTTCTCTTCTGTGGAATTCGTGGTGTTGAATGCCGCCACCTTTGGAGCTGTCCCTCCAGCTGTGGACATGTTCACATTCGCACCTGCTGCAGGCGTCTTTGAAGAGCCAGTCATCAGCGCCAGATCCTCAGCCTCCGCCTGCACATACTCTGCATACTCCATGATGGATTCCATCGTCGGACACTGATCCACTGCAAGATCTTGCCTTGCTGTTGCCATTCTGAATGAGACCTGAGCACCACCATGTCGACCCAGGGCTTCTGTGACCCTGTTCAGCACTTGCACCAGCACCAGAGGGTCCGGTGTAGTCAGGCCCAACTCCTGCACACGCTGGATCCATCGCCTCCATTGGCGAATTCCAGACAAAACGTCTGCCACCCCATTGCCCACCTTCAGCTCGGTGATGCTCTTGAGGAGCGCAGTTCTCTCAGCTGAACCCCCTGGTTGAAAAATGGTATACAGCCGAAACAGAATTCCGAGGCAGCTCACCTTTCTAGAGGCGATGACATCCCTTCGAACTTGATCGGGAAGAACCCCCAATAGGATAGTCACTCCCCGGTGCTCAACTCGTTCATAACTGGGGTGCAAAGGCCGATCAACCTTAAGCCTTAGCCTCTCCAGCGGCTTCAACTTCAGCCAAGTCTCATACAGCGCCTCCGCCTCCATGATGTTTGCTTGCCACCAACCCCTCGCAGAGGATGACAGGTCCGACATAAGAGGCATCGCCACCGTCAGCCAATCGCCGAAAGCCAGCGAAGCACCATCGCTGCCAGGAGATGGTAGAGGTGGTAACTCCAAGCTTCTAAACACTTCATTCACGGTCCCCTGAGGCAGTTCAGACCTGTTCAACGGACCCTCACACACACCCTCCTTCAGCAACCCTGGTGGACGCTCAAGACCATGTGGTTGAGACCCTCGACCATCGCCACGAGTCGATTCGCCCCCATTGCCTCCTCCACCCGGTCCCATCACCCCGACCGTTGACCGCCCAGGCTCTCGGTCAGCACTTGGAACCGACTCGAAGGATGATGACTCTGCTCCACCAGTGGCCTTCTTGATCTCCTTTGCAAAGAGATTCTCGGCTTCCCTGAGCACCTTCTCCCTGATGGCCTCCACATCAACATAGTTTGGCGACCTTCTGACTTCCCCTTGCGGCATCCCCTCAGGCACCACCCCACTTTCACCAGGATGAGCTCGTGCTTGTGTGCTCCAAAAAGGGTTGACATTCACCCCACTCATTGGGGGAGGAGTAGCCATGGGATAAGGTTCCAGAACCCTCGGTTGTGGTCCCAATTCAATCGTGGGGCCATAGCTCAAAGGTCCTCCTCGGGGTGGAATTGGACACTGTGGCGATCCAAAGACATTCCCATGCCCAGCATGAACTCCAGGACCGGTACCGGCTAGATGTCCAAGATCGTGGTGTTGAAGTAGGGTGCAAGTAGCCCTTGACCTTGAGGATTTCCACCAAAAGCTCGTTGCAACACATCTAAAGACTGCCTGACCGAGTCCAGCAGTCCCGGCGCCGACTCAATCGTGACTTGTCCTGGCCCATTTGGCTGGCCCATAACCTGACCTTGTGGTTCTCTGCTCGGCCTTCTCGCCGAGGATGTAGTTGCCGCTTGCCCGGCCTGCTCTGGAGCTGCAGCCAGCCTTCGAACCGCTGCCGTCCTCGCCGGCACCGATGCTGCTCTGCCCTCTCGCTCTTCCAGCAGCGCCTGCAGCCGTTCATCTGCCGCGCCCACTCGAAGTCGCCCTTCTCGATCTTCAGGATCCTGCAGGCGCTCTCCTTCGCGGGAGGAGCGCCGCCGCCGCCCAGCGAAGCCACTCATGGCGGCCAACAACCCTGGACCACAGGGGTGGACTTCAAATGGAAAAACAGGTCGTTGGGCTCATAACCTGAGTTTCCTTCAAGGGAAAAAACGGACGATGCTTTTCTTGAGCCATGAACAGCGTTTGTTGGTGCTAAGTGGTGTATGTCACACCTATGATCACATCGAGTGAAAATGCAGGGATTCACAGAATCAAATGGTGGAAGTCCTCCAATGTATTCCTCTGTGTGGTGAGATTCCCGAGGCCGAAGATGGTGCCAGGCCACGTGGGACCAGGAGGATCTTCGGGATGGTGCGGACGACGATGCGGTAAAAGGAGTTTCCTCCGACCGGGCTGAGCTTAAAATTGGGGCAAAAGCGGTTGGTGTATGGAGTCTTTCATCTTTGACCATAAAAAGGGACAGGTGTGTGGCATGGGACAAAGATGTTCAAAGCAATCTGCGGGATTGGGTGATGAGAAGCCTGGAGACACATGTGACCTCCAACAATTTTATACGATATCAGCCCCACCTGCCAGAAACTCAACAAGTATGATTCTACTAACAGGGCCCTTAGTGTATTTCAGATTTGCACAAGAAGGTATGATCTTCCAGAACACACCTTGACAGTTCTGGTAATATGACTGACTGGTTGAGCAACTTAGAGATTGCTTACCCTATACCCAAGAATTACTGGAAAGATAGGCTCATGTTCGTGACGTGTTTATGTAGGGTATTGTAGGGGGTATCAGTGTATCTTACAGTGGGCCTTATATGCTGATACCCATCGCCAGTAGCAATCTTAATTAATCGTTGTGTCACTTTTGTTGTTGTGTAAGTATGAGGCCATCAGCATCCATTGCTTCAGGGGCTACGGTTTGTTCCATCCACACCAATACAACATCTGAGGATGCCGGGCCCTCGCGGGAGAGACCCCTTACCAGCAAATCCGATTGCTGACATGTGGGGATTTTTCGAACCCCCCTTGCAAGCTGACAACCACTGGTTGGTGGAGACACGAGGATCCGCAGCTGGCTTTGGTATCCAAGACATCAGGGCCGGGATCGAAGCCCTGTGCGGGACAGGGGGGTCTTGGTGGTCACGGATTCCTTGGATTGGCTGAGAGTCCGTGTGCCCCAAGCGACCTGTCTTGGCTCATGAGGCCTTCCTGTGGGCTACAGTGCTCCGCGGCAGAAGTGGCGAGAGCGAGACGACTGAGAGACGGAATGCGTTTGTGTCCCATTCTGCTGGTATTCGAACAGGATGGGTACGTACAGAAAAGGTTTCTACCGCTGGGCAGAGTTTGGTCCATCAGCTTGGAGATCCTGAAGACAAAGCCCCGGTGGGCCTGGTAGGGAAAGGAAAATACTTTTTGTAGATAGTGTATTTGTGCCTTATAGGGATTTTATAAAGGGATCTCAGCATCAATTACAGTTGGCATCAGTGGGCCTTTTCCTTTCCCAGTTTCTATTGTCGACCCCCGTGCCAGCACGAGCACACGTCGTGAACGGTTTGGGAGAACATGGAAGATGGGAAGATGGGGATCTGGTATTGCAACAAACAAGGCGCACCCCACGAATACTCCACGAGACTCAGTTCGCGAGGACCGAGTCTCATCACGCGATCGCTGGACTGCCACGAGTTCCTTTTTGCTTCGCTCAGGTTCCCTTGGAAGCCTTCACAATCGAGGAACGTGTTTCGCGCGTGGGCAGAGCAAGAACTAAAACAAATGTGTCCAGTTCCTCATCAAGTAGCGGTTCGCAAGACTGTGCTTTGTTTACCAAGTGCCGTTTGCGCGCATCAACATGTCATGCCTGATTCCAATGTGGTGCAAGTCGAGGGTTCCATCAAACCCATCTGGAAGATTGTTTTAGCTGCTAGCTGGTTTCCCATATGAGTTAGGCTCAAAATTAGTGAACGTGATGAATACTCAGTGAGTGGTCATGGGAAGTTTTGTTCATGAAAGGATAACACACTCACCAAAAACGATAACGTGAGGGATGTGTAAAACAATAATACACTCACCAAATCCAGATGACCTGCAACTCCATAGCAAATTTTGATGGATGGACTTTAGCACCTTGTATCCCCAACTCAGCAAACTGAGGGGCACCGTACAAACGGGGTGCAAATCACAAGTCACGAAAACGTCAGAGATCACAGAGACTGCAGAGACGTTTAAGATTCATCCTTTGTTCCTTTACCACCAATAGATTTTGGGGTGACCAAGAGTTTCTGCCCCAGAATTCATTTGTCAACCAATTTGTTTTTCAGATGTTGATTGCGACCAAGTCGCCATTCATTTGCTCAAAAGAGGACAGGCAGCACCGACAAGCCTTCTGAAGCAATGCCCAATCGATACTGTACAACTTCAGACTAGTACTAGTTCAGGTCAAAGGAGATGTTGTGTTGGCCAACATGGCCAACATGACACTGGTGCTTATTGGGAAATGTTGTATGTTGCCGGGAATAGCATCTCAAAATCCTGTCGCAGTCGTCTTCGACCGGAACCCGAACCAAGAGCCGCCACTCTCTCCATCGCCCACTTCCAATCGACCGTGGCCAAGCACGACTGCCGAGCACGACTGCCTTCGCACGCCAGTGCCAGGATGGTCAGAGGTTATTGGAGCGGCAAAAACTGTTCCTTGGAGCTGTTTCTTGTGGATGGGAGACCAAAAACGGAGTGATTCGCCACGTGACAGGGTCGAAAACCTGGGGGTGCTATTGTTTTGTTTTTTTGGAACCTATAGAGGGTGTCACCAATTCTGAGGGTTAGAGGATATCAGAATGCTTTGTCCGCATACAGGGATATATACAGGTCGCATAGGCGCGGGCCTGTGGATACCTGAGCTTCCATAGTCCTTTTCAGTGCCCGTTCAACCACAAACGTATAAAGCCAGGGGATGCCTGAGTCACTGAAGCATCATCTCAAAGACTATCTGACTATCACTTTGGAGATGCTGGAGACGAGATTGGTCGTCCTCACATAGATCCATGCCCGACAAAAAGAAGAAATCCAGGCAGGACAAGCCATACTAAAGGGGTCTTTGTGTCTAGATTTATGTTTATCAAGAGTAGATAGAATGTATAGGGTAATCATGTGTAATCCATGGAAATCCAAGAATCAATAGGACAAACATGGACAAACCATGTCATTTTTTTCGGATTGGTTCATATTCTATCGATCTACTGGAGGATGGTTGCATATAAACTTAACACCCTCTAAAACCGGCCATCCGTTTGAGACTGGACACTGGACACCCCACCTGGACACCCTACCTTCTCATCAACACTGATCCGGCTTGCTGGCTTCCCGCTTTCAACGGGTGTGCCTTTTTGAGGTTCAATGACGGCAAGATCGACCCTCGATACCAGTGGCTCGAGGAGCGGGGTAGAGGGACTCCTGCCGTGGTCTGGAGTCACGACCTGTGACCATCCATGCAATTCGAACAGATGATGCTGTTAATATATGGAAGATGCATGAACATGCTAATGCTGACCTGAAGAGTTGAACAGTATCACCGAGTGTTGAACTGGATTTGGTCTGACTCATCCAGAGCTAACCTTGTCGAAACCTGCTTGTGAGTCTATGATTGAACAATTGGATTTGCTGAGTCAAGTCGCCGTCGCACAAGCTTTGGACATAAAGAACAACTTACTTCAGCAACTCCCCTTGCATGTAATTTCTGCGAAAGATTGGTGTTCCGGGGCCTGGGATCACTATGACGACTGGAGGAACTTTTTTTTGGTGGCCATGTGTGCGCCATGTGTGCCGACAACTTGGCGAGGACATCATCTCAAAATATTTGAAGAGCCCGGAGGCCACGAGTGACGCGAGTGCCACGAGTGACGCGAGTCTCATTCTGTGGGCTGACATGAGCCCTTTGGCCGTCAGTGGTTGCCAAGGGCAAGACCTTTTGGGGGAGAGCATCGATGGCTGAGTCAGACTGTTTTTGCACAAGAGCGCAATCTCTCAGGGTTAGTGGTTCCCGTAACGCTTCCAGTTCGGCTGCAGGCATTGGATGGTGCCGGATGTGTGGCGGCTTGTGGTGAAATTGATGCTTGCGCAACATCATTTCTGCACTCACCAGCACAAGATGTAAGAGAACAACAACGCATTGCACGAAACACTTCAGCATGTCCCAAGCGAGAAGCAACAGCAAAGCCCCAACCTGCGTCTATACAATGTATCTATAGTTGTGTTGGCCAACCACGCCCATTTGCTAAGCACAGGATATCATATCGTCATGTATCATAATGTATTGTCCCTATCATTTCTGGGATCTGTTGAAGTTTGAAAGGGTGAAATCTAAAGTCAAGCTTTCAACTCATAATTTTATGCATGTAACATATGCAGCTATATGCAACCATCTACACAACTCAGATCCCTGTTCCGCTCCGCTCGGACCGGCAGGGACGAGCACGTGGGGGTGCTGAGGAACGGGTGACCGGATGTGCGGCTAAGAAGTTGGGACACACTGTGGTGACTCGGTTTTTCGGCCATGCGTTCAGGAATTTTCAGGAAGAGAAGAGACAATTGTTTGGATGCAAGACTGCAAGACTGGAAGTCAACACATGTGAGGGAGGGTCATTGTGTGGAGAATTCAGGAGAGTTCATTAGTTCAATGAACAACCTTGCAGCAAGAGTTCAAGGACCAACCTTGGGTCATTAGGGGCATAGAGCAAGTTTGAGTTCAGGTGAACGATTAGATAGGATACCTTGCAGAGCTTGGTGGCATGTTGTCCTGATTCGAAGAAGTAATTATAAAGAATATTCTTGCCGAAATGGATCAATCTTAGACACACCATCAAGGGGAACCGTCATTTGAAACACCAATCTTTTCCCCAATCAATCAGAAGGGCCGAGGAGCGTTTGTCGATTTGCACCCTACCGTGGACTACATCGGGGGGGGTGCTGTTTCTTGAGGGGACAGTTTATAGGCCTTTGGACACCTTCCAAACAAGTGGTCTTTCAAGGGTCTATATGGGTGTGTACATGTGTATACTAAAATAGGGAGACCT